ATTCTTTTATTAAGTAGACCTTGTGTCTTATCGGTACACAGGGTCACTTGGGTGGAAAACGGAGTTTTTTCGCTCCCAATTCTTTTATTAAGTAGACCTTGTGACTTATCGGTACACAAGGTCACTTGGGGGGGGGGGACGGAGTTTTTTCGCTCCCAATTCTTTTATTAAGTAGACCAGAAGCCATCCTAAATATTACAGTACATATTTTTGCAAATATGCTTGGCAGAGTACAAGAAACATAGTATTATACCAAATCAGTTTATATATCACACTTTAGTACGGAGTACTAGAAAAAGAAAGCCTGAACATAACATAAAATTGAATAATGCAAACAAAACGAAGCCAAAGTTTAGCCAATATCCTAAAGTGAGAACGTCGATCAGTAATACAACGTCCTCACTTGGGGGGCTAGTTGTATGGGATGATATGTGAAAAGGGCTGATATGTTCCATAAAGCAAACATATCGGCCATATCGGCTTTTCGGTACTTGGCACGTGATAACTTTATCATTGACACTTGGCAAGAAAAGCCTTGCATGCCTCGTAGCCAGCACCTGTCATGAAATTTATTATAAATAGTAGGTTAAGCTTCATTAAATGGTAAGCATTTATTACTCTCTCTCTCTCTCTCTCTACCTTCTCTCTCTTACTTACCTTCTCTTTCTTAAACACATTCTAACTTTATCGGGGTTATCCCCAGATCACCCCCAGGGTTAGCTAACTTCTGTTCATTGTGTAGGTTCTCAGTTTGCCGATAGGAGTATCAAGATTTCGGGTTCGGACTCTCGGGATATCGGATCCAGACAGAAACAACTTGTTTACAGAGGAATCATTAGAATTACAGTCCTTCTTTGATAAGATCAGCTCAAGAATATTTTACATATAAACATACAGCTAAGATTATAAGGCCAGTGTATAGTAAAATTTGTTGTTTACAAAAGCTAAATTCATAATATAGTAACTTTGCAGCATACATAAATATGCCAAACCTGTTATAAAAGCAATCCCAAAGCTGAAAAATCAGCAACCTGCTCCTTGATTACTATACTTTCCATAATTTTATATCTAAAGAATTTTTACTTTATTTCTCCATATATATACTATAACTCTTACCACTATAATCATCACCAATTATTCATAACTAACATACCGAAAAAACTAAGTGATACATACATACGCGAATACAACCATGGATGCTATCGAGAGAGAGTGGTACAGAAGACGAGCATCTAGCATTACACCGGTGGCACATTTCTTTGGAATTTTGTCTATTATCTTGTTGTTAGTTTGGCTGTTGCATTATCGTGGCGGTCTTGGTCTTGATTCCGATAATCCATACCGTATTCTCAATGTTAGATGCTGATTTCTTATAATATGGATTTTAGCTTAGTTTGTTAATGAATTCATTATCGTTTGACCAAGTACGATGACTATTATATTTTTGTGCAGGTTCATATTTTTCTCATGTTCTTTGGTTTCATATTCTTTGCTGGTCAAGGTAATTACGCCACCCTCAGCACCTCCTCAGCTCCCGATGTCTTAATTTAATTAGACTTGATCAAAGTGAGGGTCGGGTTGGGTCAGAGATAAAAAAAAAAAAAAATCAACCCATTTCTCAGGTCGGGTCAAGATTTGGGCCAGATATCACATGTCCAGACTCCCCAAAATGGCTGAAGTAAGTGGGTTTTTTCAGGCCGATCCAAAAAAATAACTAAGAATACATAAAAGCGTATGTCCAAGCCGCCCAAAAAATAAAAAATTTCGGCCGATAAAATCCGCCCAAAACACACATGCCTAGTTTTAGTCTATTAAATACGAATAATACAAGTACAATGATAGAGTATTATAAACCTATCCTGGACTACTAGCAATTGGACTAGAGAATGCAATTTGCATTATAATTAAGGGCACAATTGAAGGGATAACTTTAAGTACAATAATAAGCCATAGTTAGTTTTAATGGCCCTAAAGTTGATATTATTATTATTATTATATATGAGCCCCAGGTTGTAGAGCAATATATAGCAAGTCATATATTTGTGGTTTTTCATATTTAATCCTAAAATTTTGTTACATGTATAAATAATTTGGGTAGCCATGATGGTGCACAAGAGCATAAATGCGGAAGCACGGATGCAAAAGTTGACACACATGTTAATGCACGTAATAGCGATTACACTGGGAATTATTGGCGTATATGCTGCCTTTAAGTACCATTACAAGGCAAACGTTACCAACATGTACAGCTTGCATTCTTGGATAGGTCTCGGAACCTTCATTGTTTACGGAATCCAGGTAAAAAAAATCTAAACTCCATCCATGATGTTTGCATTATTACTATTGGATTCGTCTCGAATTCAGACTTGTTACAATCCAATTATTGTACAATTGTAGTGGTTCTTCGGGTTTGTCACATTTTGGTTACCAAGGCCAGGCGCTACAAGAGCAAGGTTAGCACCATGGCATGTGTGCTTCGGGAGAGCATTGCTGTACTTCGCAATATGCACAGCTGAAACAGGGCTTATGCAATTGTTTACTATCCTTAAATTGGCAAGCAGCAGTGAAGGTCGATTGATCAACTTTACCGGCCTCGCAATTCTGATCTTTGGCATTAGCGTTGATCTAGTTATCGCCTTATCTCACTATTACTGAGATGTTTTATTCTTGTGAATTTCTGGTGTTCTAAGATTGTAGTATATGTATTTTTTTTTTCTGGGTTGTGCATACAAACATATTCATATTATTGAAGTGATGAAAGTGTAACTTATTCTTTGAGTTTGTTGGATTGTTAGTTGGACGAGTTTATGTTATGATATGTGCATTTTGCATGTGCGATGCACACATAAAATCATTTGTTTGTTTATATCAAATAAGAGATTATTGTGTGTGTGTTTTTTTTAACACAAAAGGAAGCAAATATATTACTTGGGCAAAGCCCTAATAATTACATCAGAACAACCATAGAGATGCTGATTGCAAAATGCACTCTATGATTCCAAAAGTAACCATAGTATCTTAAAACTGAAAATAAAATATTGTTTATAGACAAAGCAGAAGATAAACTAAATAAACTGGAGGAACTAAGCAGTGGGAGCATCCTGCAGAGCTCTCAGATCCTCTTCGAAAGCAGCAACTGCACTGGTAGGGAAAGCATAATGAGGAGTATGGCCCAAACTCATTGACATAGCATATTTAGCCAAATAGTGAGCTACAGAATTAAGCTCCCTGGGGATAGCGCTAAACACAATGACCATGTTCTTGTTGTTCAGGGCTCTAGCTACATCAATGATGAGAGCAGATAATTCATGATTCATATTATCCCCTTCTCTGTTGAGCAAGCTTTTTATCTCTTCAGCATCAGTCTCCACTTCCAAGTACTTCAAAGGCAGCCTGTGCAAAGTTAAGCCCTTCCCTTAGAGCATACAGCTCTGCACCTAAAGCACTGGGGGCATTGTACTTGCTTGAGTAACCAAAATACCATTCACCCTGAGCATTCCTGAAAACTCCTTCCTCCACCACCTTTATCAGAAGACAACCAGGCTCCATCAGTGTTAAGCTTCATCCATCCAGATTGTGGAGGCTTCCAGATTATTGTGTGTGTTATTTCAATTAAAAATTGATATATATTTCTTATTCCAGTTGAAATGTTGAATAATAAGTAGCTTGACTTTGTTGTACATGGAGTAAGTATAAAGTATTCTTCTTACCTTAAGTTGTAAGATTGGGATCCAATAATATTGTACTATTGGATGGACGTACTACAGGTCTGGAGCACTACACTTTACAAGGAAGTTGGCAAATATTGGCCATGCTCAAAGACTTAAAAAGGGATTACTTCTTATTTAGGCTGGATCCTAATTTATTTTATTCTTAATTTTTATTTAGATCTATAAGCTTAAATTATTTCAAATTATATAAGATAAGAGAATACTTCCTCTAATTTTTTACACTTATAACACGAAATCGAGACAAATCTACCAAGTTATTAAATAATTAGAGCTTTTCTCAACAATAAATTATCAAAAACGGCTGAAGTGATGGAATACATAATGGTGTGTGATCCAAAGTGTTGCAAGTAAAAAAAACAAGGATGGTTTCAAAACAAATTAAAAGAAACAAGATAAGGGTTAATAAGTTTACATCAAATTAATATAGGAATTGATAAGTTGAGATAATATAAAATAAGGGCAAATGATAATATTTCAAGTTCATCCATCCCAAACATGACCAAAAGTAAAGGAAGCTAAAAAAATTTAGCCTAATCCTATTTTGTATTGAAAAACAAGGGGCACGTGGCCACCTAGTAACTTAATAAAGTATGCTTAAGATGCATGAATGATATTGATGGAGTTTAGCACGGTCTTTTCGACATTACCTTAGAAGTGTTAGAACCATCTTCATGGCTAAAACTAGAGTGGAGATTTTACCATATCAATTTGGCAAAAACAAAAGGAAGTAGGTGAAGAAGCTATGTATTTGCCTTGTTCGCCCAAAAGTTAGGCATTATTCTTTTCCATTTCAACTACTATCCCATTCCTTCGTTTTATTTTCACTTGTAACACATTAATTCTTGCATTATTCATATGTTCTATTTTCACTTCTCTTAATGATTTACTCCCTTAGGCCTAATCTCAATCACTTTTAAAGATTTATTACCCTCATCGCTTAATGTTTTTTAAAAAAGGCCTAAATTATGATTGTTTTAGACCTAAATCATTAGTGAATATTCTCAAAGTAATGCATTGTCAAACATGCAGAGTCAAAATGAAAAGAACTTTTAGAAATGGAGATGCTAGAGCCAATTTTAACCTTAAAATTTATATTTGAAACTCGAGATTGTGAATCGAGCATATTCAAATAGGGTCTAGTTAGAAAATGGCTGTATAAAATCAGTGAGTCCATACAGATCAAACTTGAGAATAGATTGATGCATCACATTGGTTTAGTATCTTTGGATCAGATCAATCTTTGATAGTTCTACATATTAAAATCTAAAATAAATTAAATTTTCGCTTATATATGATTCCATTGTTAGCTTAAACAATACCAACAGAAGAAAGCAGACGGAACAATAAGAAACGGTAATAGAAACTGCAACTCTGATTTTGATCTGATTCCAAGAATATTAACAAACCTGAAAAACATCACACTAGCTGACTACAAATACAAGGGGCTCCAGCACATGAGCTAGAAGACTAATATCCCTATCTATACAACAAGCACACCACTGCCATTTGAAAATACTCTTGCCATAAGGTTAGTTACTTCGATATCCTTAACCCGAAAGTCTCAGCATGCGATACGGCGATAGCAGTCAACGTCAGAAGCATACCAAGTAAGGATGCCATAATTTCCACTTAATACAGAATAACTGGGGTGCTGATTGCAATATTATAATCAATCACCAAATAAGATATATATAAAGAATAAGAAAAGGACACATTGGAGCAGAACTGTCCAGTTTCACTCCTAAAGAGCTCCTAAAGCTGTTCTTGCTAGCTGTTATTGAGTGCTGCGTGTTAAACCACCTCGTCCAGCAGCCCTGCACAAATTACAATTGGTGGTTCAAAAGTTAGACTTGCATAGACAAGGTCACCGCATAATGTTGCCATCATGAGTCATGACAACCAATCTGCTTCAAGCATTAGAACTCCACATGTTCCTTGTTAACTTTATGAAATGATCTCGATGCAATAAATACAAGTCTAACCTTAATCTAATCTTCACATACTTCATTTTTTTCAGAAAACATTTAAATTATTACAGTGATTTATGCCAAGGAAAAATATAGTTAAGTGGGATCATGCTAGATTTACCTCAATGTATATTTTCAAAAATATCTTTTTCTATAGTGAAACCAAACAAAGGAATCAGTATTTTGGGAAGACTATGCCGTTGGATAAGATGAAAATAGATATAAGGATCTACAAATACATGGAATTCCCCAGTTTGATAATGTTGAGACGGCCAAAGTGGACAATATTTAGCTTTTTTACCTCTCTGACTATACACCTAATTTAAACCCAACCTTTTCAACTCTCACTAAACATAACTGTGACATTCACAGAAGATTCTTATTGTTTGCCCAAAAGTTTCAAAGCTCCTTAGGAAACATGTGAAATGTCTCTATATGAAGGAACACAAAACATTTTGTTCTTTGCTAAATGTTAAGGGTCAACTATCTTTTTTTTTTTTTTTTTTTTTTTTTTTTGGAATGTCAGTCATCTTCTCTGTTGTTAGTTATCATCCATTTTCGTAGCTGTTTTGTTAGGGAGGAAATGCAAGAAAAAATTTGATAATATACAATTTTGCAGCTCTTACATAAGGGGAAATTATAAGAAAACTGGGAAAAGCAACAATGAATAAGTGAATGACCCTATGTATTTAAAAAAGCAAATAACCAAATATGTAACTAGTACGAATAGTGTGACCATGGAAGGGTTAAACGAGGGAGAGGGAGACCGAAAATGACTTGGTTGGAAGGAGTTAGGAAGGATATGAAGTATATACTCAAAATACTCCATGCGTGCAGAAATTTGTGTATCAAATGTGGATGATTGCACTTGGTAAGAGATGGAGAAGGCAGTCACTAGAGTTTAAGAAAATGACTTAACTATAGGAGAACAGGTGAGGCCATGGAACACTTAGTGAATGGAGGGAAGGGACTATGATAACCTTTACTCAGCAAAGGTATAATATATTCAAGTAATGTACTAATGTTTCCTTGATATCTCTGTTTTTTGGAGCAAGTTTCGTCTTCAATGAGTAAGATTAACTTACCTACAGAATACTTCTAGAAGTTGTTGGTTTCTGCTCCAGAAAGCCTAAGGCTAATAATAACTAAGAGTAAAGGTAAATGAAAGTTTACAACGATTTATTATAAAATTAGTGTAAGAACCAGCAATCAACTTTAAATGGGTAATATACTTTTGCAAAAAAGTAAGAGTTAGAAACATAAGGAAAAACGACAGTAAATAAGGGCATAACTGTACAAGAGTGCACAATGATTTTTAGACACTCAGATGTTAAGCCCTACTTGGAACACAGCAATATTTTAACACTGCTTCATATGTCAAACAAACAACTTGCACTATTCTAAGGTTGTTTGATAGCATTAGCAATTAACACAAAACAGATTGGGCAACACCTTAGATAGATCCTATCAAAGATTTTAGAATTATCAATTAAGGTCTTGTCTGACAGATCCTCTTCAACATAACAAAACAGATTAAAAGATGGATGAGTAATGTGCAACTTACTAAGAATATTTAATTATTTACAAATTTACCTACTGAGGCTGATAAGCTAAGTAACAAAGTCTGATGAAATTTCATGTGAAAAATTGGTGTCAACATGCATATTAAATATGCTACCTTCCATACACCCTTAGCCAAACACCCCTTAAGTACAATAAGTTTATGGTTTTCCACAGTCTTACTGAATCAGAAGGGTGAGAAAGTAATTAAAGGAAGGTTTGGAAAAACTAAGTAGCAAGGATATGACAAAACGGACAAGTGAACAGATTTATATCTGTTCCCATCACCAAATTTCTTAGACCTGTACAGTGCAAGCAGGTGATTATTTAGCTGGGTTATTCATAGTAATCCTAAACAAATACTCAGTGAAGCAGTAGCATATGGTTCATAAAATAATCAAAAAGAGCTTAACGCCTAAACCACTGCATAAGTTCCAAGAAACAAATTATGCGGAATTCTAGATGGAGAACATGTCAATCAAGCGCTCCGTATAAAGTGCCACATATATGTACTTCATTTCATGTTATACTGGACCAGACGTTATGCAGAATAGAGACTTGCTCCGTAAAACATAGTAAATTGATAGAATGGAGCCTATTATCAAAGTGTTTTAATTTTTGGCATTGTAGTCCTAACATAACATAACTATTTGTATTTTACAAATTGATAGAATGGAGCCTATTACCAAAGTGCTCTAATTTTTAGTGATCCCTAAGAAAAAACATGTTTTCATTCTATTGTAGAAAAGAATAAGGTCAGCCGATCAGGTAAATTTTTTCTGTTCCATTTAGAATAGGCCAATCTTTATCCATTAGAGTAACGAAAAATTGTAACATGCCTGACCAACTATAGAAGTTTAAAACACTGACCTTCCAGCGAGTAACTGGGAGCTAGCCATGGGACCCTTGGAACTACCAAAGCGCTTAGCTCTGTTCTCTTGCTCCTTTTCTAAGCGCATGGCAGCAACCTCCTTCTCCATAGCAGCTACTTCTCTTCGCATCTTTTTGGCCTCAACTTCCATAGCCTTTGTCAATGTCTCTACTTTCTTTGCTAGCATCTATAAAAAACACAAACCTTTTACCAACAAGAAAAGAGATAATAAATTGAAAGATAAAGATTGATGTAGCAAGCGATAAATACCAACCTCAATGGCATCATCCTTGTCCTTAAGGCTTTGATCTTTTTCAAGACCAGCCTTCCTCAGAGCAACGACTTCCTTTTGTAACAAATCATATAATACACCTGGGACACTATCTTCCTTAGCAGCTGTTGGTACTTCACTTGGCTTTTCATCAGAATTTTCCTGGGAAGTACTTTGAGGCTCACAATCCTTTGATACTTCAGAAGATTGGTTGGCAGCATAGTTTGAGCTACTTCCATTTAACAAGATTTTACCCCTGTCTAATGACCTTGTACCACCATCGAATGATTTTGAGACCCCCTTTGCATGTCTTAACATCATACTAGCACTTGAAGTTAAAGAAGATCTTGATTGAAGACTCGGCGATCTCTTGGGTAAAAACCCATTAGCTTTGGACATGACATCTGCTCCTCCAAGGGATTGACGACGCCCATTACTTACACTTCTTCCCTCAGGTGTAGATCGGTTACTATTAGTTGAAACTCCCCTCAGGTTCTCTTCTAACACCTTGAGGCGTAGCTGAAACTTTTCCTGCAGAGTGCAGAGAGAAGTTTTACCTTTAACTAGGCAGGATACAACAGATATCAAAGCACCTTTTTGCAAAGAGGTTATCTTACTTTCAACTGGGCTTCAGATTTTGCTGCTCGCTCTGATATAGCAAGTTTATCCCGAAGCTGCTGCATTTCTCCCTGAAATGATATTTTATAAGGATTACACTGACTATGTAAAAGTTAACAGCAATTTTCTTTTCTCCTTTTTTCTTTATTGTGTGAGCGCATACATGTGCACATGAACTAACTTGATAAAGAGCAAATGAACCAAGTACAGTCAGCCTTAGGTAGTTAAGCGTTTAACAGATACAAGAAATACCTGTAAACATCGCCGCTCTTCAAGCCACTGCTTAACAGGCATCACCTTATCATTTGAATCTTTCCATTCATTGGCTACAACTGTGGCCACCCTGTTAGCAGTTACTTTCGCACGAGCTAGCTCCCTGTCCAGGGTTTTTCTTTCTTCCTGCAGATCAGAAGAAAGCAGAGACTCTAGGTTCAGAAAAGTCTCTTCTCACAACAAAGGCATTTTTACGCCTTGTCACAGAATAAATAAAATAAATAAATATATACTTCCTCCGTTTTTTTAATATTGCACCACTTGCCTTTTAAGGTGTTTCACAAAAATTGCACCATATCCATTTTAGGTAAAGAGATATTTGTGTTCACACTACAAACACCTAATATACCCTTGCTTTTCAACACTTACTTTTTATTTTGTATATACAATCACACGGGCAATTTTATATTTCTACCTTACTCTCTCATCATTTTTTCCACTACCAAAAAACTTGTGACAAACCTTTATGGTGCAATAATAAAAGAACAGAGGAAGTATAATATTTAGTATCATCCAGTGGACAATTCAAAAACAATAAACGTACACTCATTTCTTGCATTTTTCTCTGGTAATCCCTCACTGCATTAGCAGCTGCACCACCAGCAAGAACAGCTTCCTCTAGTTCCCGTACTGTTTGGGTTAGCTTTTCTACTTCTGAAACCTTCTGTCGATGCATTTTGTCCAAAATCTTATTTTCTTCCTGCCAAACACACGCATTTTACATATAAATTTTATCTATTTATAACTCACTGAATACAGACTCGGAGACTCCATAGAGTGAAAAGGCCATCAGGATGAATAATAAAAAAGCAATTTATCACAAAAAAATACCTGACATATTTCTATCTGTTTCATCAATTCTTGATTTTTGTTCTGAAGATCATCTACCATTGAAGCTTTAGCAAGGGCCGACTGAATTGTCCTCTCAGCTTCCAATAAAGCAGCTTCTTTTGATTTGGTAAGACGATCTAAAGCTTTGTTGTCATCCTGCAGCTTCCCAATCTGCAAAAATAGATGAACTTTTCAATAAATCCTTGAATGAAAACTGCAGTAAATCATCAAAAATTGATGGAAGGCCCGAGCTAGTTACCTCCTGTCGAGCAATTTTAAGCTCAGCTTCTAAAGGTGCAAGAATGGCTTCAATTGGAGGCATGTCATCATCCTTTTGAGCAGCGTGGACTCTTCTAAGGGTAGCTTCTGCCGCAAATTGAGCCGCCATAGATGCCTTCTTCTCTTCATTGATTTTCTTAATTTCTAGATTCTGAAAGCAACTGTTATTTAGATGGATGTAAACACAGATTTACATGACATACCAATAGGACAACAGATATTAATACATTACCTTGCTTTCTAAAGAATTTTCTGTAAGTTTAAGTTTTTCATCCACCTTCGTCAGTTCATCAGTGAGCTATTTCTCAGGGAAACACAGACAACAGAGTCAGTTTTGAAACAACAAAGGACTACGTAGAAAAGTAAGAAGACAATCAGAGACGTTATCCTTCAGAGTACCCAAATGAAGTAATTAAACAAACAAGGTTCAACAAGAAAACATGTTACACGGCTACATTCTCTATTCATCGATTTTCTGAAACAGCTTATTATTCATCCTGATGTGGCTTTTAAATTCTCCTAAAATCGGTAGAAACCAATACTGTTTTAAGTTACCCATACTTCTACCCAGAACAAAAGGTAATTCTTCTTCCCCAGCTGTAGAGTATGATGTGTCTTCAAGTCGTTACAGTCAATGTCAATTACTAATCTGAGAGCATCAAAGCGACAGAACCTCATGAGTAGACCAACCTTGAAATCAGTTCTAGAAACCTCTCAAACATATAAGAGGCATCATAATATTAGTATCCATTTTCCTTGAATCTATGGTCATGAACCACATAACCCTTTATCGCTATAGGTATAGACAAGACGGATTGCTTTGCGGTTTTTTCCAAAGCATCCTCTAGTATAATTCACATACAGATATCTATCACCTGCCAGGCTCACACCACAAAACCATATCTCAGGCATTAACATCGATCTACCACTCCAAGCTTCGACAAATCGACGGTCAACATAATAACTCCAAGTTGAACTATCCATTCATTACCGTAGAGCACAAACCGTAATCCCTCTAGTAATCCCACAACACTGTCCTTTTCCGGGTCCTCGAGGCTAATCTCAGAAAACCTTTGATGAGTCACTCAAGTCTCAAAATTTCCACCCATTTTCACATAATAATACCATTTTATCAAGACAACGCAGCAAGTTTTACAGTATATAATTTTCCCAACTCCGAATTTCTCGCAAAAAATACCCAATTAACATTTTAGCAATGAGATCTCACAAAATCCTCTACACAAAAATCGGACAGAATTTACCAAACATAGCATATTTCAAATATAGAAGAAAATCCACAAGTGTAATCAAATTTTCAATTTAATTAATAAAGTAAAATAAATAGATAAAAATTAATTAACCTCTTCAACAGCTTTCTCCCTAAGGCGTTCAGACAACCTCAATGCTCTGATCTCAGCTTGTGCTTCAGCAAGTTCCCGCTCTTTATCTGCAAATCCAAAAAAAAAAAAAAAAAAACCCGAAATTCCAAATCAAAATAAAATCTAAAAGAACAAAATAAAAGATCAAATTCGAAATCGAAATCAGCATTATGACCTCTGACTTCATTCTCAAGCCGATTTAGCTCCACTTTAACCGGATCCGACCCATGAAGAAGATTCAAGAACTCATCGGCATCAAGACTCGGACGTCGAGAAGGGCGTCGACGGGAAGAACTTTTGCCTTCTTTAAACGATCCAGACACCGCAAGAGGCGGCGGAGGAGTTGGGTTTGTCGGTGACAATGTATGAATAGTTGAAGTAGTTGTTGTTGGTAAAATTTCAGTACTATTTTCAGAAGAAGCCATTGAAATACTAAGCTCTTCATCACCCAGATGATGATGTTCAGCCATTGCTGTGAAATGGGGAAGAAAACCCCCTTAAAAAAAGAAACTAAATTTTTTTGTTTTTGAAGATCAAAATGAAAAACCCACAAAAATTCTTCCTTTATTTTTTCTGTTTTTGTTTCTCTCTCTGCAATGTGGCAGAGGAAGAGGATTGAAATGGAGGTATTTCAAATCTGGGTTTTTGTTTTTTGGGTTTTTTTCATTTTTATTTATTTATTACTTTTAATTTAATTATTTAATGGGGTTTGATTTTGATTTTGTTTTTTTAGAATAGACAGTAATTACAGTAAGGAAGAGTTAAGCAGAGAGAGAGAGTGAGAGAGAGAGCGAGGAGAGAGAAAGAGAGGGAATTAATTCAGCTGGGACGCTTTGCTGTTAAGCAGACATGACCTAGTGATTGTGAGAGAGATCACATTTCTGTGTTTCTGTGTGTATTACATTACCATTGAATTTGTTACTGATTTATTTTTCGTTAAGTTGCTAATTAGATCTACCAAGTGAGGTTCCAAACTAATACTCTCTTCGTTTTAATTAACAAGTATGTTATCATGCATATTGTTTAGGGTAAAATTACCCTAACTATGTGGACCAATGAGAGGAGGCCACGTGTCTAGTTCAGGATGGCCCACGTGGTTTAATATCCTCTTGATACATGGCCCCCTTGGATACATCCCTGAAATGGCGGCCTTCAAGGGCCCAAATTCCAAAAAACGCCGTAAAACGGCGCAGCCCACTAAAATCTAGGTCAAGTGACCTAGATGGGGGCACATTCTCCAATGACCTTATAAATAGGGAGATATTTCCCCATTTTGGGGACACATTCAATCATTTATTACACCCACATTCTCTCTCATCAGAGAAACACCTGAGCTTGGAATCCAAGCAGATCCCCACCTAAATTTCCGCATTCTTTATTCCCTTTCAAGTTACTAACTTGATCGTCGGAGGCGAAGCTCCAACCACCCGGAATCTCCGTTGTTTTGCAGGTACAACTCAGCCGGACCAGACTTCGTGACGTAACTCTCCCGATGGACAAAAACACCCAAAACACATGTCTCTAAAAAAACGACAAAAAAAAAATAATACTCATATATGCCCATGCAGCTATGCTAATGTACGGGTTATAACTAATGATAGAAGTATACTCCGTGTATATTTTTCATTTGATCAAAAAATAGTGGACATCAAAACCCCCTAAGCCAAATAAAAATAAAATAAAGAAAAAATTGCTCATAGTGCTGTAAAATAAAGGAATATAAGAGAGATTGGGAGAGAATCGATCAGTATATTTCTATTCCATTAATGGGGTATATACGTAGTATATATATATGTGGTTTGCTTGAATAAGAATTTAAACTCTACATCTATCTAGAATATTCTAGAATGATACAAGAAATATAATAAGCATCCAAACAATATTCCATAAAACTCCCCCTTGGATGTCCATTATCGAAGATTGTACCTCGTTAAAACCTTACTACGAAAAACCCTATGGGATAAAAACATAGTAAAGGAAAAAGAGTACATCATTTTTCGTAATACGCTTGCATTGGTGCCTCATTAAAAACCTTACCATGAAAACCCCATGTGGCATAAAACCATGGTCAAGGAAAAAAAAAGTGCGGCGCGTATTTCCTCCCCTGATGAATACATAACATATTAACGTAAAATCTTCCAGTGCAATAAATCCGACGCGATATGGTTGGGTAACTTCTTCCATGTAGCAGAACAACATTTTTTGATGATTGATTCTTTCAAATTGAACTTGAATCTTCAAATCTTCACATGGACTTATTGAGCCATCTTCATTTCTTCATACTTGTGGAAAAATACAAGTGTTAACCACTATTTCATTCGGTAGCTTTGTTTTGAATTATCATAACAATTAGATTTATGCCTTCTTCTGAAGGTCATATATACTACAAAATGATGATCAATAATTGATCACATTGTCCAAACATAATTTCATGGTAACACTTGATATTGTGTGTGTATATATATATATATATATATATATATATATATATATATATATATATATATATATATATATATATATATATATATATATATATGTATGTATATATATATATATATATATATGTATGTAGATATATATATATATATGTATGTATATATATATATATATGTATGTATATATATATATATGTATATATATATAAATGAGATCATGTGAGAACCAAGTCTTATAATAGGAACTAGGAACTCATCGTGATCGTTGATTGCTCTTAATCCGACGGCTTGTGTTTCACCCGCCTTTTTCAATTTCATTAAGGGCGTTTTGGTAATTTTGCCAGTTGAATGACCTTTCACCTGTTCTTTTCGCAGCTCATTTGTTTCTCTCTCCTCTCTTGCACTTTTTCTCTCTACTCTCAAATCTCTCCTCTTTTGCACTCTCAAATCGGGATTTTGTTCTTTGCTGATCAATTTTTTTGCTGTGAATCTTTTATTTTCGTCATTTTTTGAGGCAATTATTTTTTATTTATTATAATTTTTGTGATTTTGTGAATTCTTGAAGTTGTTTTTCGATCTTTGTTGATACTGTGACTAAATCTGGACAAGTAAGGGTTCGTTTGACATTGCTGTGGTTTTCTGTTTTTTGGTTTTTTGTTTTCAAAAAGTATATGATATGAGTCTCATAATGAATCCAAAATTTTATAATTTTTTTAAAATTATGATAATTTTGAAAACTGACAACAGAAAAGTGGAAACACCTTTTTCTTGTTTCCTGTTTTTGGTTATTGGTTTTCTAAAAAAACAGGAAACTGAAAACCAAAACTGATGCCAAACAAGCCCTAAGTTGTTTGTTTTGTGTTTTTTCTTTCTTTTTTATTCGATTAGGGTTTATGCTTTGTAGTTTTGATTGATTCGAGTTTATTGAAATCAGGATTTTCGCTATTTTCCTGCGACCAAAAGTGATAGACATTTTGATTATTAGATTGCTGAAGAATCATGTTGAATGATGATATAAAGGAGGAGTTAGATCTTAGCTATCCTAAAGCGCTGCCGACATCGTATAGAGTAATTATTTGAATTTACGATTTATTTAACTATTTTAAATTGGTTGATTCAATTGTTTTGATTAGGATTTTTGCTTGAAATGTATAGTACTACTATGTTGTTGTGATTTTCCTGGGTGTATCCTAAGAATTTGTATAATACTACTATGTTGTTGCTGTAGTTTCCCACAATTTACAATTTATTCAATTATTTTGTTTGATATTTGAGTTATTTTCGTTGAATCCTTAAGTGAATTTCAAGAATTGATTATGTTAAAAAAACTACTTGGATTCCTGCACATCTTCTGAGTTTTATTATTTAGTTTTGTGAAATTCATGGAGGAATTTAATTATTTAGTTTTATTTACTTTTGAGTTAGTCTTATTTACTTTTGAGTTAATGGTAGTTACTTTTGAGTTGATGTTAGGGACTGAGTTTGGTATATAATTGTGTGCATGGATTATTTAGTAGTAGACTACACTTTTAATATGGAGCAGGTGACTTCCAACCTACAAAGGCAGCAGACCTTTGCCTAGTGCATGTTTCCTCTTACACTGATAGCGACACACACACACACATACACACATCAAAAACAACCCAAAATTCAGTGTGTTGCTTGCACTGCTATTTTAATCTTGAAAACTGATTTGAGTAGATAACTTTGTTCTTCTTGGCTAACACCATCTAAATGCTGACCTAGAGCTGACACTATTGTCATGTCACAACGGATTGCACTTGTCAGATATGTGGGGCTTCGTGTGAATCTTTCATTCATGCCTTGTTCCAATGACTTGGGTTTGATCTGTGTTCTGACTTGGGTTGCTTGGTTTTGTAGGGATGAGACCAGGACCCTGTGACTAGTCCTGTAAGTCTAGCAATTAATTATACCAAGCTACTGCATGATTATAGCGAGTACTCTATGGAAATTGTCGATTCCTGCCATTTAAAACTTTGGTCACTCTAATTTTGATGTTGGTTATGTCTTTGCTGCATTATTAACCTTAGAGATGTTGAGGCTGATATATAGTTAATTTTAAGCATTTCTTTATTATGTTATCAGTTGTCATGAATAGCTCCTTGTGATTGAACTTCTTGTTATTTTCTTGATTGTGTTATTAGTTGTCATTTATTCCCATTTTCTATTTTGAGGGTAACAACATGTTTAATAGGTCTAACAACCTTGACTGGTACAAAGGACATACCCTTCATGAGGATCTTAACCTGATTAATGAGCCATATCAAAGAGGTAATAATAGTTTATTTACTTTATGTATAGTTTTTCTTACTCTTAACTCAAAACCATTTACTTTGACCTCTTATACTACTTATTTGGTTGTTTTTGTTAATGGTAGAATAGATTATAATTTGGCTCCTTTTATGTGTGATAAAAGTCAATGACTCAGGATATTTTATGCTCATTATTGGTTGTGCAATATATGGTTGACCTATTATCAGTAATGGAAGTTTGCATCTTTTCCTACAAATGCTAGAATTTACCGCCTACTCGATTTATTATGAAGTTGAAGTTTAGAGGATGCACTACATGAAGTTCAGTTATAGAGTTGTTTGTTTAATTGGTTGTCGAATATATTGGGCTCTAAAACAAACGTATATATGGGGCAGTGAGACTCATAACTTGGACATGCTTATGTTGTGGGAGCAAAAGCTCTAAGATTTGTTTTCCTTTCATGATTTACTTGCTCTGCATCCCTTTTTTGATGGTTATTTGACATATGTACAAGTATATGTACAAGTTTTCAGAAAAAAAAAGTAGCATAAAAAACAAGGAATATAATATAAAACTGTCTTATTTGACTGGTGTAGTAAATATTTATAATCGGATAAAATCGGTGCCTTTAATCTCATTTGAACAGTTGGTTTTTACGTTTTTATTATTTACTTTTTACATTTTTCTATTTACTTTTGAATTAGCCTACTAGCTCAATAGGAAGAGCATTGTGCAATTGCACAAAAAATGTGGGTTCAAATCCCACGTAGGTTCCTTTGGGTAATCTAAAAGACTTTGTGTTAAAGTTTACTTTATTTGTATGTTCTGTTAGAATCCTTTTTTTTTAATTTTTTTTCCTCTTTTGTTTACTTTCGATATTGTTTTATTTACTTTAAATTTGAAAACCTCTACATTGAACTCAATATATTTGTTTCTTATAACTTGACTCATCTTATAATGATTTGAAAGTCAATGATTGGAGTTTTTGTGATATAATTAACAAAGTTTTGTAATCATTTATCATTTCAAGCTAATTTATTGTTCGTATACTTAAGATCTAATCTGATTTACTTTTGAGCTATTTTAAATAACTTTAAAGTGTTTTTATATGTTATTATAGAGAACCTATGTAAGAATCGAACCTACACCTTTATGCATCCAAATAGTGCTCTACCACTTGATCTAATAGGCTAGTGGAGGAGTTATGAATTAGGGTAGTGGTTGA